CCATTGTAGCAAGTTAGGAATCATCTCCAATCAATTATTTCTGTTCTTGCTATTAAAATTATTATTATTCTGCAACTGTATGGAACTTAGCTATATAGAATGGTGTGTGTATATATATTTTTATATATATTTAAAAAAACTCATATATGTAAACCACACATGATATATTAAAGCCCCTCACTTTGTAAAACACATCTGTACCATGTGTAGGAATATATGGAATATGTAGGACTGCTTCACTTGTCCAATCCCTCCCTGAGCATGACAGCACTGCCCAACGCTGATGTATCCAAACCCCTGTCCCAGTTTTGTTCTAATTTCACTGATTTAGACACAGGCTCTGCTTCCAATTGGGAGCTGATAAATCCCACTTGGAGGAGCCAGCACAAGCCAGGCCCGATCCCAACCTCCCAGCGGGACTCCAGCCAGGGACAAACAAAAAGGTGTTTACTGCGGCTCATCGCGTTAGAGGGGACAGTGAGTTTGTCTAACCCCTGGCCCTCCTCTTTTCCTCTTTTATTAGTTATTCTGGACGTTAAGTCAACTCAGCCCCCGAGCGGGGCGGGAGGAGGGGGTGATAAAGCATCTGCAAAGGTCACTTCGCAGCCCAGGCCAATAAAATGGCAGGTACCGAACTTATCAGGGCCACATATAACTTGCAGTTTTTCTAACTCAATTGATTGGACTTTTTATCTAAAATAACAGGCATTATAAGATAGGCGAAAGTCGAGATAAGGAGGAAAACTGAGTAGGCCTCGAATCAAGATCAGCCTGGGGACAGGTTCAAACTCCCACACCTGCCCCGGAGGAATCAATGAAAGTTTCTTGGCGCCGTCCGCTCGTTTTGAAACGCTGCTGAAGTTGGGTGAACTTTGAGACCGCGGCGTTTATTCTGTGATTATAATTAACCTGCTCACCCGTTGTTATTGATTTGTGAGGAGGGAGGTGGCAGAGCCTCACTGGGATGTGGGTTTGGGAAGAGAAGTGCTTGGGGAGAGCAGGCAAGAGTGAGACCCTTCCCTGGCTCGAGGCAAAGGGAAGGGGGTGCGAGGGGGATTTCACCCTCCTGCTTGTAGTCCTACTTATTTTGGGAAGTGAAAAGACCCCCCCAAGCCCAGACCTTCATGTCCAGAAGGACAGGATAAATTACAGCATCACTCATCTCTCTCAGGGAAGCAATGAAGGACTGAAACATGGGAAAAGTCATGCACAGGATCCAGAGCATCATCCCAGCCCAGAGGAGTGTGAGAGTGTGAGGAAGAGACATCCTCCACCCCAAAGCAGCTGCCCCTCTCATGCTCCACACCACCCAGCCATGTCCCAGCCCAGAGTCCTTCCCAGCAGCCAGCCCCTTGGGCAGGCAGCCCCTGGGGCCAGCACTCCCTTCCCAAAATAATCTCAGACATCTGGGACCACACGTCATTTGGAGGAGTCCTGATGTCTGGGGCTCAGAGCCTCACTGATTTTTTTTTTACAGCTCCAGCACTGCGAGCCCTGGATGTTGAATAATGGTGGCTCCCTGGCTTGCAAATCCAAGAGTCTGGCTTGGAAACTCATAGGAGATTAAATAATAAATATTAGGGTTTGGTTGGGGTTTTTTTTGCCTCGTCTAGGATTTCAGCATGAAGGAATCAGGGTTTTCCAGCCTCTCCCTTGTCCAGGAAAGCTGTTTTTTCCCTTTCTGAAAGAGCAGAGCCTGACATATGATAACAGGATGCCGGAAGCAGGAGCTTGAAGGAAAATTGAGGTGCACCAAAGCACAAGGGCTGGCAAGAGCCAGGGATGGGTAGCTGGGAATCCTGCCAGAGGGGGATGTCTCCTGAACTCTCTGGAGGTGTTTGCAGAGCCAAAGGAGGCCCTCGAGGTCAGAGGACAACCTGGAATTTGCTTAAATATTACAGACACAAGGAGCTCCATGTGGAAAAAAACGGGAAGAATTGGCAAAATCTTGCTTGAAGGGACTGGCGTGGTCTCCTTCTCCCTCCCTGCTTCATCTCCGCGGCCAAATTCGGTTTTAACCCTTTAGGAGAGTCTGATGGCAGTGTGAACCCAGGCTCACCCCAGCTCCCTGTAAATGCACCGTGCTGGAAGCATCGTCCAGCGGAAAAGGGCTGAGCTCTGGGAAGGAGAGCAGGAGCAGGGAGCGGCGCCCCACCACAGGAGCTCTCCTGAAATGCTCCCCCAGCAGACACCAATTTAATTCCCAGGGATTAGGAGGAAGCATTTCCAGGCAGCGATTTTGTTATCCCAGATGCAGAAGCAATCCAGTACCAGTCCCTGTTGGAGACAGGAGATCAGCCCTGCAGGATCCCTCATCCGGCTGCCCTCACCCCACCTCTGCTGGAAAAATTATTAATTTTTGGCTTTCCAGGAGTGATTTTTTTTCCTGTTTCACAAACAAAATTAATTTCTGAGTCTCTCCCAAGGTTGGTGTGAGCAGTTTGAGCCCAGCTGGCTCTGATAAGGGTCTCACAAGCTTTAGGGGCGATTAAAAATAATTTAAAAAGCATCATGAATTCCTTCATGCTGCAGCGTATAAACAAAGTGGCCGCTTCTCAGGAAGAAAAGGAAGGTCCCACTGGATTTTGGGGTTTCACCTCCCTGAAGACACATGTAAATTCCCATTTAATTGGCAATGGGCTGAATTTCTTCCCCATGGAATCTATTTGCATGAGCCTGATCCTGCACCAGCTCCCAGTGAACCTCCTGGTGCTTTAAATCAGGGATTTAAATTTAAATTTAAATTTAAATTTAAATTTAAATTTAAATTTAATCAGCTGGATCAGCTCCAGCTCTGAGCAAGGAACTTGGGTATTTTTTGAGGTTGCTTTTTTCTTTGTCCCAGTCCATATGGAATCTGTTTTTTAGGGGATGGCTGATCCTAAAAACCTGAGCAGGTTTGGCCTCAGAAAGACAAAGAAAGCAAAAAGACATTGGAAATAACAAAGTTGCTCCCCCCAAGCAAAGACTTCATTCTACGATTAGGTATCTACCTTGTTAAGCAAAAAATCCCCCTATGCCAGCGAACAATTGAGAAAGAAAAATTAATCACTGGGCACTTCTTGGAAAAGAAAAAATTGTTTTCACTTCCAGTTGATGCTGCCCCAAATTTGGCTTTAAAATCCAGGTCTTGCCAAAAGTCCAAAGCTGAAACATTTCAGCGCTGATGGCGGGGTCAGATCTGTGTCCAACTTGGAAGAATCTCTGCCTGGCTCTTCTTTTGGAGCAGACCCAGCACCCGCCAGTTCTTTTTTTGGGGGGATGAGAAAATCCAGCCCGAGCTTATCGTATTAAAAAAGAAATTGCCGCCGAGCGCCGCGAGGGTTTAAAAAGGTGCAAGAGCACAGGGAATGCTGCGAACTCAACATACCCCACAGCAAGGAGCTCCTGGAAAAAAAGGAAAAGAAAGAAAAAAAAGGAAAAAAGGGGAAAAAAAAGGAAAAAAACCCAAAATTTTTGGAGTAGGTTTGAAAGTATGTGTGTTTTCAAAAGAGCCTTTAATGCCACTCGTGCCAACGGTGCTGGAGTTATTTTTGAGGGCTGTCACGCAAGTGCAAGCACCCGTGTGTGAAAAGACCTCAGTGCTCAGGCCTGGCAGATAATTGGGTTTAATTTGTCATTACAGATGTATTTACAGCTCGGGCCCGGTCACCGTGACCGATGATGTGGGGAAGGCTTGGAAAGGCAGGAGTGGTTTTCATATTTTGCCATAATGTGGGAAGTGATCGTAGACAGCTGCAAGAGTTCTGTCCCATGAAGGAGAAAGACCAGTTTTTCTTAAAATTTTAAAAAAAAAACTCAATCTGACCTTATAATGAAATTTCCTTCTATAATTTGGGTTAATTTGGGAGGTTAGAGTGAATTCTCACCTATTTCCCTGGTTATTTAAGCAGCGTTTCACACTCGCACACCAAAGACGAATTTACACCTTCCTGCCAGACGGCAGCGTGGATTCCGACCCGCCGACAAGGTGAATATTTGGCATTTCCAGATATTCCCATCTCCCTTTTTGCAATCCTGCAGGCATAATTACACACATTCCCCACTCCAAAGTATCTCAGACCTGTAACAACCCAACCTGGCCATTACAACCAAAGGGTTTTGGCAGCGTAATCGCGTTTTTCGGGATCTCACGTCCCCGAAACCTGCGGCCGGCACAACAAAAATCTGTATTTCTGCCTCTCCCTCCCAGCATCAGCAAAACTTTCTTTCCTAAGCTTAAGGACTGAGCTCCTGAGGTAGATTCCCACCTGGTTTTGCAGCCAGCAGTGAGCCCCAAAGGGGAAGCAGATTCTGGTTTTATAGTTGGGTTGCAGAAGCCTTGAAGAACCCAAGATTTCGGCTTCCTCTGCCCCGTGAATCCCCAGGAGCGTCACCGAGCAGGGGAAGATCCCCGAAAATCCCATTTCTGCACCTCCTTTTCAATAAGGAAATTGCAGGGAGGGAAGGACAGGTGCACAGATTTGGGGATAAAACCTCTCAAAGTTGATGTATTTGCAGCCCTTTTTTATGTCTCCTATGCTTGCAAAGCTCCGCAGGGCTCAAGGAACAAAAAGTTTCAGCCCACAGCCCTGCACCGATGAGAAACAAAACTTCTGAAGGTTTTGGGACAACACAATCAATTTTTTAAAATTGAATTTTCCTTAAATTACACCTCTATTTTAATAGCAAATATCCTCCCCCAGAAACAACAGGCTGGCCAAACTTTAGGCGCATAAAATGCCACTTTTTCACCCAGTTTGGAATTTTATTTGCTGTTTGCTGCTTTCTTGGTGGTTTTTTTCCATACATCCTTAAATTTTCAGAGTGAAATGGTTTGCCCATTCAAAATACATCTCTGCATTTGGGAGAACCAGTTTTGGGGAGCCCCTTTCTGCCGGCCAAGCCAAAGTTTTCCCATCATCAGAAGAGCACAGAGGTGGCAGGATTAGGCCTGATTTCCTTTGGAATATTCTGCCTGATAAACCCTCATCTGTTTCCAATAATTTCACCTCTTTCCCTTAAAATTTCTGGCAAAAAAAAAAAATATGTAGAGGGCAAAATATAAGCTGCATCTTAAAAAAAGAAAAAAATTGCTGTTATTGTAAAAGTGGATGAAGAAATGCACATGGATGGGTGAAAAATAATTAATCCTGATTTAATAAAGTCTTAGATTGAGCACCACCATTCACTGCCTTAAGTTTTACTGCTTTACAAAAATTTGTGAGCATTTATATTATATATATAATATATATACATGGTATATATTTAATATATATGTGTTGCACAGAACACCCCACGGCTGCAACATAAGCTGTGCTTGGTAATACAGCACAATTTTTAAGTAAGGAATTGGATTATTAACAGGGGTGACAGAATGCTCGTGATGGTGTTATTTTTATTATTATCATTGATTTATTTGCAATTTAAATTCTACTGCATGGGTGGCTTGGAGGGGGGAATAAACACTTGTGTGTTCAAGCTTGATCTTGCTCAGAGATTAGAAACCCCAATTCTGTGGGTTTCATCCCAAATCCCAGACTGGCGGGTGACAATTAAATTAGGAGGGAGCGCAGAAGGTGGATTCAAACCCGGAGCGGGGAACAAAGCCCTGGGCGAACCTTCCCCGCCGGCGGGGTTGAGGTGAGANGACCTAATTAGTGAGTGAGAAATACCCAGCCTGCACACTCCCTTGCAGGTATAAACATGACGTAACATTGAGGGGAGACTAAACCCAAAAGGAGAGCAGGACAAACAGCTCCAGGAGAGCACAGAGGTGTGTAAAGAACCCAGCCCCCAGCCTGGTGCCACGAACACCTTCCCACAGCAAGGATTTACCCCGTGGAGTTTCATGTAGAGCCCGCAGGCGTTGCAGACCGGCTCCCCCTCGGCGTTCCTGCGCCAGAGCGTGGTGGTGGTCGTGTGGCAGTTGGCACAGGAGAGCCCAACACGGCGGGACGCTGACTGTGGGGACAACAGAGCAAGGAGACACATCAGCCCTGCAGTGCTCTCACCAGCAGCACCCCACATCCCAACCAGCTCGCCCCACCACACCTCAGGGTTCCCTCTCCTCCTGCCTCTCTTGTTTCTCTGGCTTTTTCTCTTTTAACCCCTTTGCCGTTGTCCAACTGCCTCTTTCTGCCCCTCTTGCCTTTCCACTGACTCCAGGAGGTCTCAGCTCTCCTAGGCCATCTCAGATGGCACCAGAGACATGAAATAGACTCATTAAGGTTGGAAAAGACCTCCAAGATCATCGAGAACCTGTGATGGATCACCACCCAGTCGTTCCTTAGACACTTCCAGGGATGGGGACTCCACCAACTCCTTGGGCAGCCCCTTCCAATGCCTGACCACGGTTTCAGTGAAGAGATTCTTCTTGATGTCCAACATGAACCTCTCCTGGCATAGACTGAGGTTCTGTCCTCTCGTCCTGTCCCTGTTTCCTGGCAGCAGAGCCCAACCCTCACCCGGCTGTCCCCTCCTGTCAGGGAGCTGTGGAGGGCCAGAGGGTCCCCCTGAGCCTCCTTTCTGCAGAATCCACACCACCTGAACAGAGCCCCAGATCTCCAGCAGCACTGGTGGCAGCTCAGAGGCCCCCTGGACATGCACACACCTACACTAAGGTGTCTGGATCTCAGGCCATCCTGCCTTTTCCAGCTCCCAAGCCCTTCCAGGCGTTGTGGCTACACCAAGGAAATGTTATCAGTACCATAAATGTTACATATTCCTTGCTGGCTTTGTGATGGGTTTCTCATAGAGCTCAAGGGGAAGGTTAAAAAAAAAAGAGAAGCTTCCAGTAGCATTTTCATCCTCTTGATAAAAAGTGGTCATTAATAGGTCTCACTAATGAATTAGTGCAGGGAGCAGACCTGAAGTTCCTTTTCTGGGTGAACTGGTTTAGTCAGATTCAGAAGGCACCAGGAGAAAGCAAGGGTCTTGAAGCCTTATGAAATACAAGTTTTTAGCTGAGAAAAAGAGTGAGAGGGGGAGGAAGAAAGCGCCACATCCTGCACACCTGCCTGACTCTTCCCATCATCCTTCAAAGCTCAGGGTTTAGAGGGCAGTAAATGGGAGAGGGAAGGTCCTGGGTGCCGGGGTGAGAGCCTGCCTGCATCAGTCGGTGTCTGGAAAGGCTTTTCACAAGAGGGCGCTCGGTGCCTGTGGCTGCTGGCAGCGCTCGGGCTGCCGGTGTCACTTGTGTCGCTTTTGTCACTCGCAGGGTTTGGGCACCGACAGGGCTGAGCCATGCAAAGGGCGGGCAGGATGAGGATGGAGCCTCGTGGAAGACCAGGAGTGTGGAAACCTGGCTTTCAGGTGTCTGCTTTCAGCTTGGGTTCATGATCATAGAACGTTAGGGAATCACAGAATGTTGTAGGATCATAGAATTTTAAGGGGCTAGAAGGTATCATCTGGTCCCACTGCCCTGCCATGGGCAGGGACACCTTCACTAGACCAGGTTGCTCAAGGCCTTATCCAGCCTGTCTCTGAACACTCTCAGGGTTGGAGCATCCACAGCTTCCCTGGGTAACCTATTCCAGAGTCACCCTCACAGTAAAAAATTCTTCATCATTTCTAACCTAAATTTCCCCTTTCTAAAGTTGTACCCATTGCTCCTTTCCTGTCACTCCAGTTCCTGATGAAGAGTCACAGCTTCCCTGTAAGACCCTTGAGATACTGGAGTGGGCTGTGAGGTTTCCACAAAACCTTCTCTTCTCCAGGCTGAATAGTCCCAACCTTCTCAGCCTGTCATTATGGACTCATGACACTGGGGACACAGAGACCTTCCCAAAACCCCTCACCAAAACATGCAGGGAGCAGCAGAATATCAACACTGAGCTCACAGAATCGTGGAATGATCTGGGTAGGGATCCAGTTCCATCCCCTGCCATGGGCAGGGACACCTTCCTCTATCCCAGGTTGCTTCAAGCCCTGTCCAAGCTGGCTTTGGACACTTCCAGGGATGGAACAGCCACAGTTTTTCTGGGGACCCTGTGCCAGGGCCTCCCCACCCTCCCAGGGAGCAAATCTTTCCCAATATCCCATCTAACCCTGCTCTGTCAGTTTGAAACTATTCCCTCTTGTCCTGCCATCCTTGTAAATAGTCTCTCTCCATCCTTCCTATAGGCTTCCTTCAGGAAAGCTGCAATTAGGTAAAGCCAAAGCTTTCTCTTTTAGAGGTTGAACAATCCTGTTCCTGTCCCCCAGGTTCCTTGTGCATTCCCCACCCTGACCCCACAGGCTTTGGGATGTCCTGACCTGCCCTACAATGGAGGCTTCACCTCACCCAACGGATCTGGGAGCAGAGTGTCCAAAAAAAAGTATCCAGAAAAGTCACCATGAAGTGAGGAGCCCACCCAGCAGTGACCAGGGACCCCTATGGATAAGAGAAGATGGACTGGTACTGTGCTGGAACTGGAAAGAGTTGCCATTCCTCCAAATATACCTGCAGTGATACTGAAGCAAAGACTGGCTTTTGCTGAACCAACACCACAAATCCCAAAATCACCCTGTGTCCTACAGCCCTTTCCACTGCCTGTGTCTGGAGAACTGCTCCGGGCAGTACGAGGTCTTGGAGTGTCCCAAGCATGAGAAAATCTGACTTGTTTTGAAAGTCTGGACTTTGGCTGGGCAGGTGGGTTTGAAACACCCCTGACATCTCCAGCTGGCTGAGATTTCTTTGCCTCCTCCTCGCCCCACGTGTGTGATCTTGACTTACCAGCCTCCTCTGGGGTTTGAACAGGGGCCGGTTGATGCCGTTCATCTTGTGGTAGAGCCCGCAGGCGTTGCAGAGGTAGTGCCCCGTGCCGTCCCTCCTCCACAGCGGGGTGGACATGGCCCCACAGTTGACACATTCTCGCCCCTCGGAATAATCATCAAAAAATTCTGCTGCCAGGATGGGAGAAAAGGCAAAAGACTCAGTTAATTAGGTGGCTGTACCTTTAACTGCTGCTCTCCTTCTCAGTTTAGCCCAGAAGGAACATTTCAAGAAATCATAAATATTAAGATTTTAGAGGTTGCAAGAAACAGCTCTTTTACCCCAAGGAACCCACCCTGCCCCCAGGATTATTGGGAAGAGGGACTCCTTTCCGTGCCATGACTGCAGGACTTCTGTGGCAGCAGGGATATGCTGGGATATGGATACCAGGAGACAGAAATATAAACCTTTCCCTTCTGCTCTGACGTTATCCAATTTTCAGGATTGGCCATAGCCAGGGCAAGCAGATCAGGGCAGGTGAACAACCTTGGTTATGATCAAGGCAGATTCCTGAGACCATGGATAAGAACAAACCCCACAGAGCAGAACTGCCCAGAGGTCAGGCTGGGCAGGAAAACCCATTTCATGTGCTCTGCTCCCCATGGGAACGCTCCTCACCCAGCCCCTCTGCTGGGGGGAACGGCTGCAGAGAGCCACGGGGAGGTTTCTGTGCCTTCACCCCATTCTCTGCACGGAAAATATCTCCTGATTTACAGCAATCCATATGTATAACATGAAGGTTCCCTGCCCAAATGGAAGGGGGTTGGAAATGGATGGTCTTTAAGGTCCCTTCCAACCCAAACCATTCCATGGTTCTGGGATTCAAACCCAGCTCAGGCTGACAGCTAACAGGGATTGTTGTGAATTTGTGTGTGTTATCCAGCTTTTGATGGAAATGTGTATTGTGCTTGATGCCACACTGCAGGGCTTGCTGCATTCACCCACTGCCCTCCTGGTACATCCTGCACTGGGATGTGAGGGACAATTGGGCATGGAGTGATAGGAAAAGGGGGAATGTGTTTAAACTGACAGAGGGCAGGGTTAGATCAGATGTCAGGAAGGAATTGTGCCCTGCGAGGGTGGGGAGTTCCTGGCTCAGGGTGCTCAGAGAAGCTGTGGCTGTTCCATCCCTGGCACTGTCCAAAACCATGTTGAACAGGGCCTGGAGCAACCTGGGGAGGTGGAAGGTGTCCCTGCCCATGGCAGGGGGGTGGGATGAGATGAACTCTGAGGTCCCTTCCAACCCAAACCATTCTGTCATTTTCTGAATTGCCCTGGGCTGGGCCAGTCCAGTCCCTCTGGCTCTGGCAGGACCAGGAGGTTGAAAGGTGAGCACAACTCAACTGCATCATCCTTTGGAAAGCCACAGCTCATTCCCTGTTCCATACAAATCCTCCCAGAAACCAACAACTTCGCTGTATTTTTTGCTTGTCCACCTGCTTTTTACACAAGAATCTCCAGCTTCCTGCTGGAATACAATTCCTCCCCAAAGAGCAAACCAACAAAATTTTGCTTCTTGCTGAGCTGTGCCTAAATCCCATGTGGGTTCTCTGATGTCTAGCAAGGGTTATGTTCAGACATGGCCTTATTTTCTCTTTTCCCTGGACTATTTTTGGAAAATCTGCAGGAAACTGCACAACCGTGAACCGGCCAAAGGACAAAAAAAATTAATGAAGTGGCGCCAGTTAACAGAGACAAATATTCACGTGAGCCTAATTCTCCCTAGAAAATCTGGCTAAAAATGGCAGATTACACATGTGCTCATGGGGAAATGGTAGAGAGCAGCAATTTATCGTACCCAAGCAGCTTTGGAGCCAGCAAAGCAGGAATCCAGTATCTTCCCAGCAGTTTAGGAAAATCTCACTACCCTGGAGCAATTCTGGTGGATTCAAAAAGATGAGAATCCTCCCAGACAATTTTTGTCCAGATCGATTCAGTGATACCACAACCCTCACTTTCTCCCTTAAAATGACAATTGAGTCATAGCCAAAATCTAGATCAAATAAACTTCCTTTGAAAAGAGAAGGGATTGGAACAGCTGGTCAGGAAAAAACTCGTTTCCTTGAAAAATCTCAAGAAAGGAAAACATTTCACTTTTTTTTTTTTTTTTTCGTCTTGGAAGTTGTTGAGGTTTTTGATTATAATTTTCCAAAGAAAAAGCCAAAGTATTTTTGCAGTAATTTTTTTCCTGTAAAAAATCCCTTCTTCTTTGAAAATAATTCGGTACAGAGTTGTGGACATAACCCAGGGAGAATTTAGCACAGCAGAGATAATCAAAAGGTAACAGTTAAAGCTTGAGTGATTTGAGTTTTGTCTGTGACTAAATACAAAATACAATCTTTCTTGGAGATTTTTCCACCAGGCAACCAAAATATAAAAGTTTTTAATCAAAAACAAAGGAGAAAATTCCTAACAGTCCCTCAGAAATGTTAGAAATTGGATTAGTTCTTGAATAAGAAGGTCCCTCAAAAAAATGTCAAGTATGGATATATTTCTGGTTTTAGAAAAATGTAAGTCTCCTATCTTCTGGCAATATTTTGTTGCCAGATGTTGAGTGTTATTTCCCAAGAGTGGGACACCCAGCTCTAGTGCCACGTTATTTTCAGTATTCAGTATTTCAGTACTGGTTTCTCATTGACATCCAAAAGACCAGTGCAAACCTGCCCTGAGACCTGCTCTCCTTTTCTACCTGCATTTGGCTGATACTTTTTCCCTATTTTTTTGGTGTTTTGGGGGTTTTCCCCAGTTTCCATGAAATTTGAATAAGAACATCTCTCTTGAGGGACTTTTATAGGATCACAGACTGGTTTGGGTAGGAAGAGACCTTAAAGCCTATCTCATTCCAACCCCTGCCATGGGCAGGGACACCTTCCACTATCCCAGCTTGCTCCAAGCCCCATCCAAACTTTCACTGGCTGAAGTTTCCAAAACTCCCCTTCTGCTTCCGTGGCAGTAACGTTTGTGAGACTTTCCCCTCTCAGCTGCAGGTGAAGGTGATCCTTGTGAACGTTCATAAACAGGAGTCATTGGGGTTTGAGATGGGAAGGGACAGACTTTGCTCCCGGGGGACACCGAGGCTCCAGGCAATGGGTGGCTCTCCCTAATCACAGCCCGTATCAGATGGGTGTGTCCCCTCCGGGCACCACCCAGTGCTGAGTCAGATGACACCCACAGAATACAACCTCATTAAAAACATTCCTGCAGCCCTGACAGAGCAGGGAGAGCTCCTTGACCTAGGTAGATATGACCTGGAGGAGAGATACCCTCACCTGCTTCAAAGGATGTTTGGGATGGCACAGGAGGTGTTTTGGGCGCTACTGGAGGCTGGCTTAGAGATGATGATATGGGCTTGGTGCGTGCCATTTATTGAACAAAGGGTGTTTGGGCCCTAAGGAAGTGGAAAACAAGGGGCTGGATTTCTTTCTAGAGTAAATTATAGATTTATAATTAATTTTTTGTGTATATATATATATCATTTCAGAGCATCTCTAAACTCCAGGATGAAATTGCCAAGGGGACCTTTCTGCTGAGCTGTCCTTCTGGCCACACATCCCCCCTGCTCTGAAAAACCCTGAAGATCTACAAAATAATGAGAAAATATCACCTGAAAACCTGGAGCCTGTGCAGGTGAGTGTTCAGGTTTGACATGGGTGAGTGTTCAGGACCCAGGAAATCAAAATATTCCCAGGGCTCAGAGCCCACAGGAACCAGGATCCACCAGGATCAGGCTGAGCTAAATTGGGCATGGAGGTCACCGGGCTTCAAATGCACTAATTGTTTAATTTGTCAGTGTTATTAATAATGGGGATTAAAGAGACTCCCCAGGAAAAAGCAGCAAAGTGTTTCCTTGGCTTCTGGCTCAGGGCTGGAGCTCTAAATCCTGGCATTATGAGATCCCCTGACACTTATTCCTTGTACTTTGCAGCCGGGAAAGGAAACGTTTATTCAGGCAGCAAATGGCCCGAGCGGCTCCCGGAGGGCCCTGAACAATGAGGGGGGAAGGAAAGGCTCCCCCAGTCGCACTCAGGGCAATAATTTCCGTTCTGTGGCACAGGAGCCGCTGCCTGATAATGGAGATTTATGGGTCCATCCGGTGACCTCTGTAATGGCCTTTCTGCTGGAAAGATTTACTCCCTCTCCTGAAGCCAGGTACAGCCAGCACTGGGACAGGGTTGAGGGAAGGATTTGCTGATCAGGCTGAGAAGGACTGTGGCTGGGGGAGCCTCGTGTGTGCTGAGTGGCCTCATCTTCCTCTTTGAATGTTCAGCTTCCCCACGTGCCTTTGCCAAGCCCTTATCTTGTATCTTGGGATCATTCAGTCCTTTTTATGGGCTGGGTCCCTGGTGTTGACTAATCCTGATGGCCTTCTACTTAATTCTTCATAAAACCCTGCCTTTAGTCAATGAAGGAGCTTCCCACATGAAAGCAGATCATGAAATCTCACTGAATGACCAGTGGAGAGGATGGATTGTGTCCCATCCCTATCGTAGTCATCAACTTGCTGTGTAAAATGAGATTTCTTTCCTTCACATCTACTGTTTATGAGCACTGCAAGGTTCCCAGGGCAGGAAATGTCACTTGCGTGTTTCACAACAGGCTCCTAATCTTGGGTGAGGCCTTGAGTATGCTCATGTCAGAAATACTTTCCACAATGGGATATCCAGTTCCCAGGAGCCAGGAGTGACTCCTGAGTGGGGCACAGGGGTCTGGAAGGAAAAAAAGAATTCTTGGATGTGGCCCTTCGTGACACTTGGTCGTTGGGAGGGGTCCTTCACATCCACTGAGATCGACCTGTACGGACAATGCTGGGGTCATCAAAAACACAGATTGGAGCTTGCCCTGCCAGCCCACACCTCCAGCACCTCCAGTTCACCAAAAGTCTGAGGAATTTTGCCTTCCCAAACAGGAGAACCAGATGCCCGCTTGCAACCCAACCCAAGGCTTGAGCCTGGAGAATGGCTTGAAGTGACTCCTTTCCACCACCTCTGCCAGCCTGGCACCACATCCATCCCAAAGTCCAGACTTTTGGGCTTTTCTTAAGCAACTCATCCCTGGAAGTGGTCCAGGGCAGGTTGGATGGGGCTTGGAGCAGCCTGGGATCGTGGAAGGTGTCCCTGCCCATGGCAGGGAACTGGATGAGCTTTAATGTCCCTTTCAACCCAAACCATCCTGTGATTCTGTGATTAAATCTGTTTGCATTGGAGAGATCATCTTGAATACATAAACCTGATAGATCAGGACACTAAGGAGTGATAACAGAAAAAGGAAGAATTTTGATCCCTTCAGGTCAGACCCAGCATCCAGTTTATGAATTTCTCTTCCCCATCCTGTGGAAGGGGACAAGGAGCCCTCCCTTCCCTGGTTTGGGTCAGACCCTCCTGCATGAGAAACAACGAGGTTGTCTTCTGCTTCCCTCCAGCCCCCTCCTGCCTTCACCCTCTCTGGACAGAAAGAGACTTCCATTACTATAGCTCTGGAGTTTTGTTTACAGCTGGAGAGATATTTGATATCAACAGTTCCCCCTGCAGAAGTGTCTTCTCAACCCAATGAAGCAACTCAGCAAAGGAGGAACTGTCCTTCAAACACAGCCAGACCACTTACAGGCTCTAAACAGAGCCTGAGAGCAGTTTTGCCAGCAGAGAAGCAGTTTCCTAAAACAATTTGTTATGATAAGAGGTGAGAGCCACGATCCTGTGTATACACAAACCCCAAATGGACTCTCAGGGGCATTCGCAGCTGAGGCAAAGGACAGGGACACCCTGGAATTCACCCAGGACACCTTCACCTTCTGCTTCAAAGGACAGCCACAACAGCATGGCAGCAGAAACAGGATTTACCATTCATAGCCACTTGGTCCCAAATCCCGGAATTGTTCCCATTAAAAAGTGGCAGTTTGGAAATCCTTCCCACTCTTCAGGCCTTTTGGGGTCCTTTAAACCAGAATTTTGGTGCAGCTAGAGGAGCTGAAAGACACATCTTCTACTTCTTTGGAATGGGTTGAGGTGTTTTCCATGAATTGCATGATTCCAGAAGCTGAAGTTTCAAGGGGAAAAACCCACCAAAAGGTTTCTGGTCAGATCACAGCCCAGTTAAAAGTGCTGGTTGGTCCAGGATTGTGGCAGAGAATGAAAAAAAAAGAGGAAGGACAAAAGAGGAATGGGAAGGGAGTGACTGCAAATTTTAAAAGCCCAAAATCATGCATGGGGGAACCTCTGTAGCCAAAGGAAAGCTGTCAGTGAGCCTTTCCTTTGTCCATGGGGACATCACCAGCTTGGCACACAGGCTGGGATCAGAAAGTGGGGATGGAGCTAATGGAGCCAAGGTTGTTTCTGTAAAAACAGGTTTTCCTCGTTAGCTTTTACCCCTCTGCTCCCTCTTGTTTCCTCTCAGATGGAATTTGGGTAAAATTCACCCAGGGTTTTAGAGGTGAATGGGATCTAAACACAGGGAGAGCAGGACAGTGCCTGTGTGAGCAGTGCTCACCACCGGGCTGGGTGCTGTGGGAATGTGGCTCCCTGCTCCCCCCTGGCCTGGATTAGCAGAAGGCATCATCACCTGTGTGACTGAGGATCTGCAGGAAGTGGGGAACCAGGTAAATTCCCCACACTTAGCCAGAAACACGGTTTCAAGCAAAAAGCATCATTGTGCAGCCTCGCAGAAATGGCTTGATGCCATCCAAGAAAGTTTTAGGGTTTACCTGACACGTCTATGGTGGAGAAAATGGCTGAGTACCCAGTTAGGTGCCTGAGCCAAACAGTTTTCCCTCTGAACACATAAAGACCCTACTTATTGCTGGGGAAACATTCACCCTACAGTCTGGCTTTCCAGAAGGCAAAGAAATCTGCTTTTTCCCCGGCTTCGCAAAACGCCATGGCGAGACATTTCCCGTGCAACCCTTCCCAGGCCAAATGTTTCACATCAAGGCAAAGGGAACATTGTGTCCCTCCCCTGCAGCACTCCCTGCTCTGCCTGCAGAGAGCCAAGGTCTGTGGCACACACCATTGCCAGCAGCCAGGAATACTCCTTTCCTTCGTGGATATGTTTTCCATGCTTTGAAGGACGGTGGAGGTGGAAGCAGCCAAAGGACCAGCTGAGATCATGTGCGGGAGGGCCACGATGGGAAGGTTGGGAAAATTCTGGGCCTGGCTTGGAGTTCAGGCTTGGCTCTGCAATAGGATGCCCTTGAGCAAGGCTTTTCATCCCGTGGTGACACTGTCCTTTCTACATGGCAAGGAGTCACACTGGAGAGGGGCAAGAGGACAACTTTCAAAAGCCACAGCTGCAGACAAGAAATGGATGGAAGAAGGGTGGGTGGAAACTAGCTGGATTCCTCTAAATCAGATCTAAACGGTATTTTGGGAAGGGGCAGGAGTTGGGGGAATGGCTAACCTGGTTGCTTGGAAAAGCATTGACAGTTCTCCAACACCAAAACCACCAGAGCCCAAACCATCCAGCCCTGTGGTTGTCCCAGAGCTTAGTGGAGAAATAGACCAGAAACACACAGAGGGACCATGTCCCACATCCCAGAGGTGCACAGCCTGCTCTGAAGGAGACAGGAATGCAGACATTCCTTGTAGGACTTTTGGTGGGAGCCTCTTGGCCACCTCTTTGAGAGTGATCTGCTGTCCAACAGCAATTTCTGCTGACTGTCAAGTTATGTCTGAGTGAACTCCCACCCACCCACCAAGGTGACCTCCCCTTCCCTACTCCTCCTTGCAGTTCTTACACTTGTAAATATCCGAGGCTCCTCTGATAAACAGGAGATTCCTCTGCTTATCGACTGTCCAAATATTTTTTAACAAATCTCAGATTAGCACAGAGAGCCCAAGGAATGGGCGAGATGGGGTCAGCCACAGCCTGGGGTCTGCTTGGCAGGAGGCACCTGGAAAGGAAAAAACCTTTCTCTCTTTTGACAAAGGAAAAAGAGCCACAGCCTTGCCCTGCTTGAGATCTGGCCCGTCTCCAACTGGATGTGCCCATCAAGAGACTCTTCTTTGATGGCCTCAGGGAAGGGACAGTGGGGAAAAAATGAAGAGGATCAGAAAAGCTTGGGATTTACAGTGCCATGATCCCTCCTGGGCAGCTGCTTCTGAGCTGGGAACAGGTAATGGATCATGTGCAGCCGTTCCTGGTGTCCCCAGAGGGAAGCACAAGCAGGTGTGCTGTGGAGTCCTGCCAAGCTGCTGCTCCATGGCTGAGCCGTGGGAATTGGCCTTATGGCTACGGGGTAACTGTGAACCAGGGCCAGTTACTGGGGAGGTGGTGAAGCCTGACCCTAAGCCCAGCCAGCAGAGTCTGCCCATGTTCAAATGTTCTGACCCCAATCACATCCAAACTTCTTCCCAGGAGCGGCACCAGGAGCTGCTGGGCTCAGGATGAGATGGTCTGTGCTTGGACCATGCCAGGGCCTAACAGAATCACAGAATATCCTGGGCTAGAAGGGATCCACAGGCATCGAGTCCAGCTCCTGTCTCAGCACAGGACAACCCCAAGGTGATTCTTCACCAGTGAGTGAAGATTATGGTCTGTTGGGCTTTCATTAGGAGATGGAGGAATGTCCATCACTGGGCATTCCAAAGCCTCATCCACATGCCCTCAGCCACTGCTGAGATGGTTGTCCTGCTAGGGATCTTAAAACATCCATTTCTCCAATCCTACAACTCCAGAAACTTGAAGTTTGGGGTGGGTTTTTTTTCCCAGATCAGGAAGACAGACATTTATCCAAAGCAAACAGGCAAAATCTTTCTCATAGGATTGCAATCAATTGTATTATTGTTATTATATTTTTCTGTGTGTGTGGTATAAATATATGTAAACATATATATTTGTATATATACACACAGCATGTCCTAGAATGAATGGTTTGGATTGGAAAAGATCTTAAACATCATTCAGTTTCAGACCCTCTTCCATAGGCAGGGATGCCTGGGATATCCTTGAGAATGCCATTGTAGCAAGTTAGGAATCATCTCCAATCAATTATTTCTGTTCTTGCTATTAAAATTATTATTATTCTGCAACTGTATGGAACTTAGCTATATAGAATGGTGTGTGTATATATATTTTTATATATATTTAAAAAAACTCATATATGTAAACCACACATGATATATTAAAGCCCCTCACTTTGTAAAACACATCTGTACCATGTGTAGGAATATATGGAATATGTAGGACTGCTTCACTTGTCCAATCCCTCCCTGAGCATGACAGCACTGCCCAACGCTGATGTATCCAAACCCCTGTCCCAGTTTTGTTCTAATTTCACTGATTTAGACACAGGCTCTGCTTCCAATTGGGAGCTGATAAATCCCACTTGGAGGAGCCAGCACAAGCCAGGCCCGATCCCAACCTCCCAGCGGGACTCCAGCCAGGGACAAACAAAAAGGTGTTTACTGCGGCTCATCGCGTTAGAGGGGACAGTGAGTTTGTCTAACCCCTGGCCCTCCTCTTTTCCTCTTTTATTAGTTATTCTGGACGTTAAGTCAACTCAGCCCCCGAGCGGGGCGGGAGGAGGGGGTGATAAAGCATCTGCAAAGGTCACTTCGCAGCCCAGGCCAATAAAATGGCAGGTACCGAACTTATCAGGGCCACATATAACTTGCAGTTTTTCTAACTCAATTGATTGGACTTTTTATCTAAAATAACAGGCATTATAAGATAGGCGAAAGTCGAGATAAGGAGGAAAACTGAGTAGGCCTCGAATCAAGATCAGCCTGGGGACAGGTTCAAACTCCCACACCTGCCCCGGAGGAATCAATGAAAGTTTCTTGGCGCCGTCCGCTCGTTTTGAAACGCTGCTGAAGTTGGGTGAACTTTGAGACCGCGGCGTTTATTCTGTGATTATAATTAACCTGCTCACCCGTTGTTATTGATTTGTGAGGAGGGAGGTGGCAGAGCCTCACTGGGATGTGGGTTTGGGAAGAGAAGTGCTTGGGGAGAGCAGGCAAGAGTGAGACCCTTCCCTGGCTCGAGGCAAAGGGAAGGGGGTGCGAGGGGGATTTCACCCTCCTGCTTGTAGTCCTACTTATTTTGGGAAGTGAAAAGACCCCCCCAAGCCCAGACCTTCATGTCCAGAAGGACAGGATAAATTACAGCATCACTCATC